TTTTCCCCTTGGAGCGTAAAAATTCCTCGTGTGCAAAGTGTTATTTAGAAGATCAGGTGGGAGTGAGTGTCGGAAAAAAAAAAATTAAAAATGGAATCACGAATGCGAAGCCACAAGGCTGTGACGGTATGGATGGAACGTGCTGCGATGGTGAATAAAAAAAAAAGGTTCGAAAAATGCTACCGAGCAACAAGGCACATTGATGGATGAATGGTGTAAAGAGTTAAAAAAGAATAAAAAAATATATATATAAAAGGGGGGGTACATTTTGTCACGTCATGGAAATAAGTTTCAGGGATGTGATTTAATAACGTAAGTTTTTGAACCAAAAGCAAATGATTTCATGTTTGAGTTTCGTGGTTTTAAACAAACATTGTAAGTTCAGAAAGAAACAAAATAACATTACGCACAAGCATTTGTTTAACGAAATAATTTTTACAATAGTGTGCGTCCGAAAGTTTTAAAGAACAGACATTCATAAAGTGTAAAAAATAGTATTCACACACACACATTTTTAAAAAATTATAAGTTGTTAAAAATATAGTTTACCAGAGTAATGAAAAAGATTCAATTTACTTTCTAATTTTAATTAAAAGCCTTTTATATTACGCGCGCACACGTAGTCTGATTTTCTTTTAATATATGCAAAAGAGCAACGTGGTCGCCGCGGTAGCCTAGAGGTTATGGTCACGGATTCTTAGCCGGCGTCCCCTAGTGGCACTGAAGACCCGCAGTGTAGAGAGGCTGATGTCCGTTAAATCTGTTGAGACTCAAAGCCTTCTCACTGGAATGATGTGGAAGCTTGGAGAATGGGTTCCCAGATCAGTGGTCATTTTTGTTTCTTGATTGATGTTCCAAATTACGATTTGATTTTAATTTACGTAGCACTGTCAAGCAACATAAGACAATGGATGGCGGTCAGATTATCAGGAGGACACCTAAACTTCCATACCGCAACAACGTGACGACTTTGATCCTCGGCAGTTTTAAAGTGCATCCACCCCTCTATACGGCGGATCTTCAGCAACACAAAATGTGTCGTCAACAATCAAACAAAATAATTGTGTAAATAATGTGCATGTATGTGACAAACTTATTTCTTCTATCACAAATAACTTTAGGGATGATTTCACCTAATGTTAAAGACTAAAATATAAGCTGAAATGTTTTTATTGATATAAAAATATTACTAATTTAATAAATGCTAGTGAGGTTACAAGGCACACATATATTAAGAAATAAGTAAAGAAAATGAGTGTATGTGTTTTCTACCACACGTTACTTAACTTTTTTTGATATTTTAAGTTGCTTGAATATGATGATTGAATCCGAGATTTAACTATATGCTTTTTATATTTGCAATAAGTTTTAACAGTAAATCAAATAACTCATATAGTTATAATATTAAGCATTGGAAAAAACCGATTAATCAAATAACTAATAAGAAATCAGAACACCTACACTAACAGTGATATTAAGATTTCTAACACATTCACATGAAGTCACAAAACAACATTAACAAAACGTGACCAGCACACTAGTCTAATGTTCCACACACATGAACCTAATAATCATTCTTCGCATTAATGGATTCGAGAACCGGCCACTGTCCGAAACCAGGAGATAAGAACATTACCGAATGCCAGGCACGTTGGAACGTTTTATTGGATATACCCCCAAAGCCACTAAACATGGAATCCTCCTTCGCGCGCTGCCATCAATTCCCGTTGACCTACATTTTTATTTTTTGCCTCCCAGTACTCCTGAAACGAAAAGTGTATTTTCACATAGAGCAAACTGTTCTCTTTTTGTGGAAGTGGGACACTGGGAAAAAATTATGGGACTCTTTTCACCGCACGCTATGACGCGCGCTTTTAACTAGTTCCGTACACTACCGGTGACTGAAATAGACAGTGGTTTAGTTAGTGAAGGTAAAAAATGAGAGTTCTATTTTCTGTCGTACCTAAATCGGGAAAGTTTTTTTTTTTTTTTATCACGAATAGAAAATTACACTCTTTATTAGGATTCTGGAAATATATAGATACATATATATCTTTTAATAAACTTTACTTGTGAGAGACAGAAATAACTTGAATATTAAAAATAAAAAAATTCATTGAGATATATTTTAGACACGAAAAGATTAATGTTATTGTATTATAAATATTTTTGACTGAAGACACCTTTATAAAAAAAGTGGGGTTGAATCAGTTTATAGATAGCCAACCGTAACCTTTTCCGTTGTTGTTGATGTGTGTTTTTTATCCTGGGAACATATGAAATACAAGTGAAGAAGAACAGAAAACATACAATACAACAGAAAAATATACACATTTATTACAGATGATGATGATCCCAGCATATAACAAGAAAGGGTGCGCTGCTTTCCTTTCGAGACGGGAATTCATTACAGGCGAAAGACCGACTTCTTTCCCGAAGAAGACATAACCATGTCTTACTCGGGAGTCGAACCCGAGCCCACTCGGTTATAAGCCGAGGGTCATAGCCACCATACTGGCTGGGCGACATCGTTTCCGTTTAAAACATTGTGTTAAATCCTATGAAAAATAATGAATTAACGTTCTAAGCCCATTACTAATAAAAAGGTAACATATTTAAAGATGAATTCGAAAATGAAATGTGTATGAGTGAAATGGAGTGAATGAACGTGTTAAAATAATTTCCTTATTCATAAAAATCACATTCCAAACATTGATAAAACATGATGTGCACTAAAATCTTTTATCAACAGTTAGAATCCCAAAACGTAATGTATTTTCAGAGAGAATTTTTAGAGAGCTACTTTAAAAAATTTCAATTTTTATTTATTTTTTACTCTTTGAATCAAAACAAATCATTACAGTGTTCATTCTAATATACAATCACTAATCAATTTTTACTCACACACGAAAAAAAATCTGCAAGATATTCATTGAAAAGAAATAATACATCTTTTGATAATTTAAATTTTTCGAAAAATTAATCAAAAACATATCCTGCATAAAACATTAAAAAATGACTTACAAATAATACAATTAAAAACCCATCTAAAATAAAAGCAAAAATCGCATTATTATAAACAATCCTTCTCCGAGATAAATGTCTTTTATGAACATTTCAAAGCATAAGAGTCATGACATTCAAACTTCAAGATTATGCGCGTGCACGCACAGACGCAACTATCCTTTCCTATAGTAATAATAATAATAATAAAATTCTGAGTGAATTGTTGCCGGAAGCTAAACATAGGCCCGCGAAGAGGTTTAACATCCTTTTCTTCAATGATATAAACAGTATTACTAGTAGTAATAATAAAAGACTTGACAGAACAACTTCCGCGTCCTGACTTCCAGAATGAAAAAGAAAGGCGAGAAAAACAAAACTCTTGCGTATTATTACGACCGCAAGGTGATTGCCTCAAGGTCACTTGCGATGACTGTAATTTTTCTTCGCTTCTGCGTCAGGAATTGCAACTTCCGGACTAGTCAGAAGTTGGTATTCAAATCAAGGTGTATAGCGTGAGCTGGTCAGAAGTTTTTTGTTTTAATGGAAAAGTTTGTTATGCGTCAATTTAAAAAGATTGTGCCAGTTTTTGTATTTTAGTAGACTATGTGTTTGTGTGATTGTATTGTTGTGAACTTATGGTAGATAGTGGCATGCGATTTCTTACATTAAAGATACGACTGAGAAAAAAAATTTTCGTAAAATATTTTTTTTTAGAAATGTTTAATTAAAGTAAGAATTTATAGAAAAAAAATTCTATTAAAAATCTTTATTTTTGAATACTTACTTAAAAATATAACCTGTTTAGGTCAAAAATAATGAAAAGGTCTTCCTTTAAAAAATAGTTGCTATTTTTTTTCACTGATACATTTCGTTCTTTTATAAAGGGATTGAAAGGGATTTATTGAAATCAATCTTCAAAGACATAAAAAGAATCAGGAAGAAGTTTGATGAGCTAAGCAGTTATGATAACAACAGACGAAAATCATTTAATCTAAAAGCATTAATTTTCATATCAATATTTAAGCACCGCGTTAGAAAAAGAATAAATTAACATTATTCACATTAAAAAAAACACATAGGAATTGGAAAAATATAATTGGATGACAATTCGTAATAATTCGTATGTGAAACTAAAAAAGAAGCCAAAATTATCCATAACTTCATTATCCAAACATATTGCTAGATTTACATCATTAAAACTTTTTTCCCTCACATTTGTTTTCTCAATATAAAAGCTCATTGGAAATGTGGCAATGAAAGAGCAACTAATGGACTTCTAAATGCATATCGGATCCAGTCATTTAATTAAGCGCCAAATAAGCCAAAAAAGCGTCAGAGAGAAGATATGTGCGAGTATTTGCTATATATTTACGATCACAAATCCCATTTATTTTTATCGCAGACACACCCTGCTAATGAAAGACTCGGTATGTACACAGAGCCAACGTTATTAATTTTACATGACAAAACAGACAGCGGATACTTGTTTCCGATAACAAAAATTATTAATTAACTTACACCACACACGCCAAAGTTTTCTTACCAATTTATTTCAATATTAAGAATTTCAAGCAAAAGATAAAAGCACTATTTTCTTTCATTCGTGAGAAAAATAGTTCCGTATAAATCGATAGAAAAACTACAACTTCACTTATAAATCAAGTACAGAGTGCAAAAGAACTTTTGAAATATTTTTAAAACTATATTTGGTCATTGAAAGAATTTCTGTGTCTATAATTCTTTCAGACAATTTTTTCACAATTCCTACTTTTAGTTCACACTCTCCCTATATATATATATATCTTGTTCAAATTTGTCAATCGTTAACAGCATACTTTTTATTCATCTACTCAAATTCAAATACATTGTTTAAACTTGTTGTGGATGGTACTTGATGTTAATACAGTTTTCTCAAATATTTTAATTAATGAATAATTAGTACAAACAAAAATAATAGTCCAGCACCATATATAAAAAGAAAAATCGCTCGTTGTGTCCTTGTGGCGTAACGGATAGCGCGTTGAACTTCTAATTCAAAAGTCGTGGGTTCAAATCCCATCTCGGATGGCCTAATTTCTGAGAATGTGATTTCTTTTTACTATACTATTTTATTGGAATAATTAAATTTAATGAATGAATAAATAGTTACAAAAAATAGTCCAACAGCATATATAGAGAGGAGAAAATAGCTTTCTATTTTGCCACTAAATAGTGTGATTCTGTCATATGTGTATACATAATTACATTAATTTTAAATATTTAATAAAAAAGTAACTAAAATAAAATGTTTCTTTGTTGACCTAAGTAGGAATTGACTTAAAATTTCGTTTCATATATATTACTTGCTCATACATAAAAAGGAGCCAATGAAGAAGCATCTCAAAAACAATAAACATTTCAAAAATAGAAAGAATTGAAAATGGTTTCTAAGGTAACGTAACAGAAGCCACTTTTTCCATCAAGAAGCCTTAACTGTGGTTATAGTATATTAATTTGAAAATATTATATTAATTTGAATTTTATTTTAATTCTTCTTGACATATATGAAAATCTAAAAAAAAATGAAATGAAAATCGAAAAAAAAAATTAATTGATAATAGATCGTGAGTGAGTGCTTATTTACGTTGCATTACAAGGCAACATGAGGGTTATTGGCGACGGACCTCGCATCTTTAAACCTCGGTCAAAATTTATGAGAGTCAATTCGAGTGCCGAGGACGGCATCTGAGCTGGTACCCCCTCTTTAAACTACCACACTAAAGGAATAGGAGAATTTTGAGTCTCAACAGATTCAATATGCATCAGTTCCTACCAGTTGCGCACACAGGAATTTTTCAAGGGGGTCGGGGTCGAAAATTCACGGTTCTTGTATCATGCTCTTTTTGATTTTGTCGATTTTCGGGAACAAAACACAGTAAAAAACTAATTTTTGAACAACTAATTAGCATTAATTAATAAAATTAATCATTAATAACAAGTAATTAATTAAATTTTACGTACTGTATACTTAGAATTATGATCAATCGGAAAAAAAAATCAAGGGCTTTGGGGGGTCCGGACCCCCAGGATCCCCCCTTGTGTGCGCCACTGGTTCCTACACACTACGGGTTTTCAATAGCACTAGGGAGCGAACTCATGACACGTTGGTCGTGTGTTCGTTATTGTTGTTACTAATGCCACCTGATCGGCAAAGGCCAGATCAAACCCACGAAATTCATCATGGCAAAGGGCTAAGTGACGCCTGTCGTTAGCCGTAGCTTTGAGCACCATACAGGTGACAGAACGATTTAGCTCGGTTCACCCCAATTTAGAGTCAGGGTCCTCTCTCACCTCTCTTCCACTTCCACCAACTTCACGAGAGGACTAGCGGCTCGACGGCTATTTAAAGTAACCCTATGACACGAAGGCACTATACAATTACAAACATCCATGTTTTCTCCGGGATTCGAACCCAGGCTCAACGGCACAGCAATCAGCGTCGCTAACCACTACACCGGATGGGTGACCGTGTGTTCGTGACCATAACCACTAGACTTCCGTTGAATAGATAGACAAAGCATACTACGGTACATTTATAATAATATAATGTTTCTTCTTGCACCTTTCTTTTATAGAAGTTTTAATTCTAAATTACATGCAATCTATATCACATTTGACCTTCAACAAAATGGTATATACTGAACTAAAAATATCCAAAACCTATTTCTGGATTTTTTTGAAAAAGTCGCTAGCTATCTAGATTTAAATTAAGATTCGTACATCAAGACAAAACAAATTCCAGCAAGTCAAATTGAAAGAAATACAGTGTAGCATTAATTACAAGCCTAAGCGACGAACCACTAAAGCCAATCATCGCGCAAATTCTAAATTTTCGAATAAAGAAAAAGAGCGGGAAGGAAACGGACGCCTCGACAATTGTCTCAACGAGAAATTATCTGCATATCTACCATGACAACCCGTTCTTCTTTAAGCGAGTGAAACGAATGAGGAAAAGTATTATAAAGTGCCCTTCAATTCAACACGTCCAGAAATTCAGTAGAAACAGCCACGTTTTCAATAAATGAAAAACAAGTAAAATTAAAAAAATTAAGTCAATTCCTACTTATGACAACAAAGAAAAATTTTATTTTATTTACTTTTTGTCAAATAATTACATTTAATGTAAATATGTTATACATAAGCCAGAATCACAATATTAAGTGGCAATTAATTTTTATTAATTATCATTTAAGTATCGTATTGTCATCCAACATAATCTCGTGTATGTATAAAATTTCAGTTGAACTGAATGCTGCTTTAAAAATTGAGAAAAAAATCTTCTAAAGAGTTTTGACCCCAGTCGCTAAAAATGAAGTCAACGTGACTGTATCTGTAATTTTTTAAATAATTAGTTTCAGTCAATTCATTTTTAATTTATTATAATTAATTTATCGTATTGTCACCCAAAACAATCGTGTATAAAAAATTTCAGTTCAAATGAGCGCTTTAAAATGTGAGAAAAATACCTATTTTTCACACAAGTTTTGACACAAGTCGCCCAAAGGGTTGCTAAGTCGCCAAAATGTTGTCTACGTGGCTGTAATTCTTCGAATAATTAGTTTCAGAAATTTTTTTATTAATTATAGTTAAATTACCGTATTGTCATCCAAAATAATCATGTATATAAAATTTCAGCTCAATCGATCGCTTTAAAATGTATTTTATTAACGATGGAAAATTTGAACAAGATATATATGGGGAGATTGTGAACTAATAGTAGGAATATAGAAAAAAAAAAGAGCGGGACGGAAATGGACTCCTTGACAATTGTCTCAACGAGAAATTATCTGTATCTCCACCACGACAACCCGTTCTTCTTTAAGCGAGTGGAACGAATGGGGATAAGTATTATCAAGTACCACTTCCTTCAATTAAACGCGTCCAGAAATTCAGTAGAAACAGCCACGTTTTCAATAAAAAAAGAAGAAAGGAATTTCATACAGACGCCCGTAGTGTTGATAAAATCGCTTCTATCAAAGCGGCTGCATACGCGTGTACTCCACAAACAGTGGATCGCTAACGATTGAAACAAATTAAAGAGGTTACAGAACAGAGGAGATGCATTCATCTCAACCGCCAACTCGTAATGAATGAAGTAATAAGTGAGAGAAGATACTTTTTGAGCTAGTGCCAATGAAGAGGTCTGTCTAGAGATCCGAGATAGCATGTGAGAGGTAAAAAAAAATTATAATAATTATATCGTGGCCGCCCACAAAAGCTCATTACACACTTACCGAATAATTAAGTGCTTTGAGTGCATTAATTAATAAATGTCATCAAAGGAGTTAAGGGGAAATATGATACACACACGAGATAGTTGGGAAATTAGTCATTGTGGTTTTGTATTTAAGATTTTAATAAGCAGTATATTTTTGGTAATTATTTTGCTTTAAAATTCAAATCTATTTAAGTAATTAGGACCAAAAATGAGTTTAAAAAATGTCTGAGCAAAACATCATTTTATTCTTTTTTGCATTGTATAATAATAATTTTTTTTAAAATTTAACATTTCCCCTTATACCAGAAACAAGTTATATATAAAAAAAATTTAAGTCAATTCTTACTTAGGTCAGAAAAGAAAAAAATTATATATTATACACTATTTTTAAATAGTTACAATTAATATAATATGTATGTACATGTGACATAATCACACTATTAAGTGGCAAAATAGAAAGCGATTTTCCTTGCAATTTTCCATTTTCCTTTCTATATAGGGTGTTGGATTTCTTTTTTTTTTGTAACAATTCATTAAATTTAATTATTCTAATAAAATAGTATAGTAAAAAGAAATCACATTCTCAGAAATCAGGTCATCCCAGGTGGGATTCGAACCCACGGCCTATGGATTAGAAGTCCAACGCGCTATCCATTGCGTTACAGAGACGCAGCGAACGGTTTTCATTTCTATATATGCTGTTTGACTATTATTTTTGTTTGTTACTACTTATTCATTTTCTTAAAAATTTAATTAATGAATTAATATTTGAAAAAAATTGTATTAACATCAAGTGTCATCCACTACAAGTTTAAAAAAATGTATTTGAACTTAAATGGATGAATAGAAAGTACTTAATAAACGATTGAAAATTTGAACAAGATATATATATATATATATATATATATATATATATATATATATATATAATAGTATGGATTGAAAAATACTATGTAATCGGGAGAAAAAGTGTTTATATTAAACAAAACATTTATTTCAATCTCCACAAATCTTTTTACTTTATTCTTATAAATTTTATTTAAAGATATAAAAAAAAATGAGATAAATCAAGAAATAGTTTTTAAAAATGTTAAAACAGTGGGAGGGGAAGGGAGCGAATGACCTAATACACTGGAATTCAATCACGCAGTTTCGGTGGATTAGAAGTCAAGGAAGGTGAGCGATGCTTCAACAGGTTTTCTAAAAAAATTATTTTATTATAAAAGAACTAACAATAGCAGTTTGAAAGAGGGGCAGTTTGACTGAGCTCGATATTTTTTTTGAGGGGGGGGGAAGGAAGGGGTAAACTGATATTGGAGACTCTTCAATCAGCAAAAATTGTTACTCGCTGTTTTTTTTTCAATGACTGTAGTGAGTGAGTGCCTACTATTACCGTCGCACTGTAAATCAGCATGACAACTATTGGCGACGGACCTCGCAATTCTGAACCATGGTTAAACGACGAGGATGACATCTTAGTTAGCATCCACCCCTTTCGAAACTTCCGTAACACGCCATAGAGAGGACTTAGAGCTTCAAGAAATTTGACATGCATCAGCCCCTCTACACGGTGGGTTTTCAGTGGCATTATGCTCGAATTCATGACCCGCCGGCTACGAGTCCGTGACTATGACCACTAGGCTACCGCAACCCCACAGTCAATTAGAAGTGAAAGCCGGTATATTTTTTAATGAAATAAAGATTTGATTGAGTGCTACTGTATTTGATTGAATCTAAATAAATATATTTCCAACGCATTTTTTTTTAAAACAAAATTGTAAAAAAAGGAACGAAGAGCAGCAGTTAGAAG